TCTCTTTGAAAGCAAAATGCTGAGACCTGATTAGCTCTAACCCCCCCTGCACACTCCAGGCACTGCAGCACACAATCTTGCTGTGAATACAAATTGCTAAAACTGGCGTAAAATACATCCTTCAGCTTGACTTCAGGGGAAAGATCACCACGGGGTGTGGCACGCAGGCTGAATACCAGCTGGGGGTGTGTCTCCAAGGAGTGGGGCTGGTTCGCACCCGCCTCCTGCCTTCATCACCTGCTGTCAGCTCGGCGACTGGCCATGAGTACAGCCTGCGAAGGACAAGCCTGCACCCCCCTCGCACTCCTCTCCTGGGCTTCTGAGCTGTCTCAGACAGCTGCATGGGAGCGGAGGACGGTGGAGGGGGTTCCTCTACGTGCACATCACGTGCATGCTGCCACGATCCTGCACTCACCCTCCAGAATCCTACAGGGTAAATGATCTGCCCAAGCGTCACATCATCCATCTGCAAAATACTGTCGACTGTGAGGCCGTGCTGCCTCAGGCGCAGCATGGCAGCTGATGTCACCTGGTCCTTGGTCTGGCTGGAGAGCATCAGCGACAGCAGAACTTGGTAGCGCATAACCTGGGGAAAAGGAGACAGTGAGACACCCCAAGATCTATGAGAGGAGATCTGGCCACCTCTGGGGCTCGGTTCTCCCACCCAGCACCATCTTCAGTCCAGTGCATAATATGGACCTACCCTGGTTCATCCGTATCTATCTGCAAGAGACTGGAAGGCTGCAACAGAAATGATCCATAACCTTTTACTTCTACCACACAATAAAGAGAGAAAAGAAACACCTTCAATCCAAGCAGTCAGCATGTGTAAAAGGGCAAAGAGCAGCTACCGTCTGCTGGGATCTCACATCCAAAGATGCCAGTGCTTAGCCACAGAGGGTGAGATAAAGCTTTTCCTGATGATGGGATTCTCAGGAGACCCCACAGGACATAGAAGTACAAACACCCAGTGATTTTTTATGCTACTTCTGCTGTAAAGCTGCTTTTGAAAATCCCATCCCTTTCCCACCTGGCTTCAGTAGGAACTGGGTATCTGCCTCCAGTGAGCTCTTTAGGAAACCAAATCTAAAGAATTGGGATGACAGAGACTGCGAGATGAAGCACAAAACCCACAAGTTCCTCTGATGCTGTCATGCAGCGTTTAGCCCAGACTATTCACCTCCTATTTTTCAATTGATTTTTCCCCAGATGCGATTCTGTCCCCACCAGAATGAGGAGGATGATGCAACTAACCTGGACTGACCCAGGATAAGGTGGGGTGCAATCCTTCCTCCAGCTCTCTTACAAAGTTTACAGAACTGCAAGTGCACCAGGACAAATCTCTGAGTAGATGGAAGTAGGGTAATCTCCGAGTGCATGGAAATTGTGTGAGGAGCACTGGTGTGTGCTGAGGGTTACAACATCCACTTTTTCTTGGAAGCAACAACCCTGCTTCCCTAGGGAAGAAAAGTTATTTCCGTATCGTGCACCGTGGTCCTCCTGGCCCCACAGCTGCACTTGGTGCCAGCCCACATGGCTGCAGAGCGTGTGACGCTGTCTGAATCCAGAGTCAAAGTTAACCATTTTCCCCAGGGATCCAAGCCCAAGGCACGATGCCAGCAATAAGGACAGCATTACAAGCGCTGAAGCTGTGCAGCTGTGTCTTCGAGACCCCTCCCTCAGAGCCAGTCAGGTCGCCGTGCAGCACACGACTCCCGCTGCTCTGCCAAGCCTGCCTCCGAGTTATCTCCACGTTCCCACACGAGCGCCATGCATGGAGAGTGCAGCCCTGCAGCCCCGGATCCCAGCGCCGTACCACGGCCTCACTCCGCTTTGTTTTTTGTACTGATGCAAATGGTCCCCTTGGAGGGAGATGTCATCTGGGGCCTTTGATTGTGTTCCCAGGCTTGGGGAGCACAGTGCCACCCCAGCATGGCCCTTCCTTTCAATCAGTATCCCCTTAAAAGTGGACTGCAAGAGGGGAGGAAGCCAACCTACACTTCTGTGCTGCTCTGAAAAGCATAAAAGCAGCCTGGAAAGTTTTTTTTCTCAGCTCCCCTCGCCTTTTCTCCGTACTGTTTTTCCTCTGTATTACAGAGCCATCTTGCTGGATACTTTCCTTGGAGTCCTACAGAGATTTTTAAGAAGAAAGGGACATGCCTTCACACCCTGCCAGCCTGCCGCAGAAGACAGCACTGCCACAACACACTTTCAGGTTTTTCACTCCCAAGTCCAAAATCATCCTATTTTTGCCACAGCTCCTACTCTTGGTTCAGCCTGCTAACTCCTCTGGCAGCAGTTTAAGCAGAGGACAAGGACCTTTCACAGCTGTGTTTGCTAGTTGGTCTCTATGCACAGCATGGGCTGAATACGAGCAGAGGACATCTCAGAAAATACCCACTGCCATTTCACAAGGGCTGTCTGAAGCCAACGAGCCTGGTACCGGAGAGGCAGTGGCTGACTCTCCTCCTCTAGCAGGATGAATGGTTTCTCTCATATGCATGTTTGTACAGTAACCTCTTGTGGGACCAGTCCCAGCCTAGAGTCCTGATACACCTTGTGTTTATTTTTCTGTTCTGGAGATATCCAAAATGGGACACATCCAGGGGCAACATGAGGATGAGGAAGGCCGGAGGGCTATGGAAGCGAGGCTGTATTTTCATGTGCCTGCCTGACGGGGCAGGGCAGCAGGGTGTTGTTACCTGTGGAGGTGCGCTGCTGTCGAAACACTTCTCCACTCCCATCTCATCGACGGGAGCATCTCTGTTCCGCCTCATTTCCCGGATGCGCTCCAACTGCTGCCGCCAGTCCTTTGGCTCCCAGCGTGATCTCTGGGGCTCAGATATCCCCTGCTCGGCACCATCCCCCTGCCCAGATTCATAGGCAATGGCGACGCTCTGCCTCCTCCTGCTGCACCTCGGGATGCTGGCTGTGCCATGGACCTGGCTCGCTGCAAGAGACAGAAGAGAGATTTTCAGGCCTGAGGCCAGGGAAAAGAAGCTCTGGTCTCCCACCAGAGCCCAGTGTCAGCCTCGTGTGCCAGCAACCACCTGGGGGACCCCGACAAGGGTGGAACTCATCTTCCCCATAGTCCCAACCCAGCAGCAACCCCTCACATCCACCCAGCCCTCACTGCAGCCAGCCGTGGGGTGAGGAGTGGCTTGGAAGGACCTAGGAAACAGGTGACAACAGCTGGGGACACATGTCACACTACGGGGACGCGGCTCCCAAACGCACAGGAGGCTGCTGAAGGACGAGACGCATCCCCAGGTCCTCGCCCAGTGCCACAGGCAGGACAGCCGCCGGGGTGCTGTCACATCCCGGGCTCCGAGGGGGAGGGGACAAGGACACCATGTCCCTGTCCCCCGGCCGGGCTGGGCCCTCACTCCCCCTTGCTTGCAGGCCCCCAGGCCCCCCTCCCCGTGCCAAGGCCGCACACCACCCCGCCAGCCCGGGAAGCACCGATCCCTCCGCCCCGTACCTCCGGCCGC